CATATTTGTTCCTGGTCTCTGATGCTTCTTTGTCTTTTGTTTAAATTGCTAGCTTCACCATTCACTAACTTTATTTACATATTCACTTTTCTTTCGAAGTGCAGGAATAATACAAATTTAAGTGACCAATAAATCAATACTGTAAGAAACTGGTTGTGTTTGTAAGTGGGATTGCTGCAGCAAAGACAGAATCAAAACTTCTTGGTCGATCTATTTCCATTGGGAAATCCACTTTTGTGTATAAATGTGGCTCGGGCTTTCACAACTAGAGGGAAAACGCCTTTGATGTTCATTATTAAATATGTATCGACTGGACTGCTTGTACGTCTGTTCCCATGGTGACTCTCACTAGGTGATGAGATAGTCTTGTGACCTATTGGAGCTACAAAATCTAGCTGCAGTGAGGACAACTGTCAGTTTACTTCGTCTTGAAAACAAAATATTTTGAAATTTTTATTTAAAAAATGCCCTTATGGATATAAACTATTTGAATATAGGAGTATGACATTTGGTCCAACAAGCATGCTCCGCCATTAGGTCTACACTCATTCTCTTCAGAAAGGATCTCTGTCACAGTGGTTCATCAAGTTGAAACATCTCAAAGCACATCACAGGTCAAGTGTAGCAACTGTTTCTGTGGGCAATCACGGCAGCCATTTGCACTATTAATGTCACACAAATAACTACGAGTTGATTGACTGATCTGCAAAATTGTGGGCCAAGATACCTTCTTCTGAATAGTGTTGCAAGATCTTCAGTGTTTCCTTGAAAATGTGCAGATGGGACCTCAGTTTAATATCTAATTTGGAAGACAGACGTATGTGCAGCGAATGATGCATTTTTAGCACAGTCCTCACCATATTAACACAAGGTAGTTGGTGTTGGATTCCTTGGCTCAGTTGGTAGCACTCGACTTGGGGTCAGAAAAGTATGGCTTCAAATTCCATCAGGAGAGGTCACAGTCTGGGATGAGACTCTGATGCAGTAGTGGAGGAGCACTTCATTGGTCAGAGGTGCCATCTTTTGGGTGAGATATTAAACCAAAATCCCACCTGTCTGTTGAGGTAAATGTTTATTACCCCACTATGCGTTTTGAAAATAGAGAGTAGATTCACCCAATGTCCTAGCCAACAACAACAAATCACATTAATCTTGGTTGTTCCCTTTGTGGCTGCCTGTGGGACACTGCTGTGTGCAAATTGCTTGCAACATTTGCTGACACATACACAATCGCCTCAGTTGCCAGAAATTACATGTGAAGTGCTTTGAGATATTTTAACATTACAGGCATTGGCATTAATATTGAGGTAATATTGAAAAATAAACACCCAAGTTTTGTGTTCTGCAGATGCGCTAATGCAGAAGTGCAGAAGAAGTGCAGAAGTATAAACATGTGTGTCACTTTACATTGCTTGACTTCCGATAGAAATATTGCTTCACCCCAGCAGTGAAAACAAAACATAAGCACCAATACAAACATTTAAATAATTTGTCTTTTTTGTAAAGCTTATTTTTTGATAGTAAAATTTTGTTAAAGAAATTTTCAGCACAGAAGGAGGCCGTTTGACCCATAATAATGTCATCAAACAAGGAGACATTTTCTTTTACTTATTCATTACTTAATTTTGGTTGCATTAGTTTGTCAACTCTGGTGACAGTGCAGATGAATTGTTTATCTTTGTCATCATACAATTCATTATACACGTTTTTTTGCTGTTTAGATAGGAGTCTTATAGCTCAGTAGTTAGAGCACTAGCCCCGCAAACGAGAGAACTGGTTTGAATCCTGGAAGGGCGAAACCTTGGGCAAGTTTCCTTATAACACATGCCTGATAATATTCCCTCAAGAAAAAAAACAATATTAAAATTGGTCACTTCAATCCATAACTGTTTGTGGGACACTTCTGTGCGCAATTGGCTGTCACGTTTTGCCCACAAATATACAGTCAATTCACTTTACAGTATATTTTGTGAAGCACTTTGAGACATCTAGAAGAAATGAAAAGCGCTATATCAAATGCAATGATTATTATTATTAATTTTTTGTTTCATGCACACAGATTCAGGACACTATTAAGTTCTTAAGAAGTTTGTAGAGTATTATATAGGCCTATATTTTTTTGACAGCCAAGGCTTCAAACTTTGCAGTGTTGCTGCAGTATTTGCATTTTCAATTGAAGAAAACTGAGTCTACCCATTTCTTACCCTGAAATGTTGGGTAACACCCTTTCTGGTTTGGAGCATTGCAAATATTTGTGAATTTGGATTAGATTATCTCTGGGGTGGTATTGTTCTGTTTCCACCCCCTCCCCCTCCAAAAAAACGCTGCTAAAAGCAACCTGTATGTCTGTGGTTGATGAAAATACTGCTGGAATCAACAATTGTGACCCAGTTCATAGGACAATGCTTGTTAGATTCTACAAAATCTTTGAAGACTAAGTACAGTGTTACTTCTACTTTACCGAAGGTCAGTAGTCACAGTATGCACCTCAAATGCTTAGTTATAGATCTTCAACTGAACCAATAATAATAATAATCTTTGCATTTGATATAGCGCCTTTCATGTCTTCTGGACGTCTCAAAGCGCTTCAGAGAATATGCTGTAAAGTGAATTGATCGTATATTTGTGGATGCAGCAGCCAATTGCGCACAGCAGTGTCCCACAAACAATGGTGGATTGAAAATGACCAATTTATTATTGTTTTGTTTTGGAGGGATTATTAGGTGGGTGGAGGAAGGAAACTTGCCCATGGTTTCGCCCTGGCTGGAATTGAACCCTGAAATAAGACTGCTGCTGGACCTTGTTACCTTTTCTGGTAACCCAGTTGTATCAGAATTATGGTTGGAAGCCAGCTTGATGTGTAATCACCAGGCGTGTCTGGTTACTCTTTGCAGAGCTAAGTCCAGGCCAATCTCTGGTTCACGGTAAAGGTGTTTCTTTGTCCACTGAGAGCCTCTCAAGGTAGAAGATTTCTCATGTAGACGTAGAATCGTATAAAATCGCCTTTCTGTGGCTCCTTTTATGTCAGGACATCTTGAAGAGGTTCACAGGATACATTGTAAAGTGCAATGGCGATGCATTTTGTGGACAAACACGGCAGCCAATTTGTGCACAGCAATGTCCTGCAAGCAGCCATGAAAATGAATGACCGATTTTATATTTGGGTTGGCCAGGAAACTGGACGTAAGCTCCCTTCTCTTTTTGAATTCTTATTATAACAATAATAATCCTTGCGTTTGATATAGCACCGTATCACATCATTGAGACGTCTCAAAGCGCTTCACAGAACATACTGCAATTTGCAGTTACTGCGTATTCTGTGAGCAAATTCTTCCACCCGAATTTTGCAGCATCAGTATACGTTTGCAACGGACACATTGTTTAATTTTACTGCCAATTTTTTTTTTGGCCATTGCCTGCACTTAAGTATCCAGTCAGTTTAGGAAGTGCGGGATGCTGTAGCATGTTGGTTACGGCACTCGTCTCGCAAGCGAAAGGACCTGGGTTCGATTCCCGGCAGGGCGAAATGCTGGCCACGTTTCCTCACCCCACACCCGGCTCCGTTTACCGAGCAGTAAGCAGCACGCCGGCTGTTGAGACGATTGGCGGACAGCTTTTCCCACGGTAATCATCCCTTCCCTCTTTTTTTTAATAATAATAATAATATAGTCGCTCAGTCACCGCTGCCTGTGGGACGCTCGCTGCCGCGCGCAATCGGCTGCCGCGTTTCGCCCGCAAAATATGCAGTCCATTCGCCTTACGGCGTGTTCTGCCAAAGCGCGTTGAGACGTCTCGAAGATGTGATAAGGATTATTATTATTATTATTACAGAATACACCTGTCAGGGTTTTTTTTATTTGCAGTCGACCCCCTCGCTGCCCTTGCGCTCCTCCAAACCTAGGGGGCGATACCGTTTAAAGCACCAGCGTCGTCTAATATGGAAGAGAGGAGGTGGTGGTGGTGGGGGGAAAGAAGAGCTCTCTCCCCCCCCCCCCCCTCCCACCACCATCACCTCTTCCCCCTCTCCCATCGTCCGCCAATCCGATTGGTGGCTGTCACTGTCGCTTCGCGGAGCTCGTGCTTTTCCGTGAGCAGCTCGGGCGCGGCACGAAGCGACGTCATTGGTCGACGAAGACGAACGTGGGCGGAGGAGGCGAGGTGGGAGGAGCGGCCCTCGGAGCCGACGGTCTGGAAGCCAGTGACGCTGTCGGGCAACTAACCCGAAGGCACCACCCCCCCCCCCCCCCCCCACCCCACCCCGCCCACTGCGTCCAGTTGAACACGTCACGTCGCTGACGGTGAAGGGGAGGGGGGCGGGAGAGTGACGCCCGCCCGCCCGGCCCGCCCCGCCCCGCGACGCGCCCCGCCGCCATTGGCTGCTCCGGAACGTCAATCAGCCGGGCAAGGCCGCCATCAGGTTACATTGAGCAGGAGGTTACCAGCTGCAGTGAGTGAGTGAGTGAGAGAGAGAGAGAGAGAGAGTGAGTGAGAGAGAGAAAGGAAGGAAGAGATAGGGGGGGGGGAAAAAAGGAAGAGGAGGAGGGGAGAAGAGCAGAGCAGAGAAGAAAAAAAATAGTACAAAGACAGCCGAGTGAATTAGGGAGGGGTCATTTTTTTTTAAAACCGTTTTAATTGGGGGTAGAGAAACCCACGGGCTTTTTTTTTCTCTCTCTCTTCTCTCCCCCCCCCCCCACACCCCCCCTCCACACCCACCCACCCACCACCCTCCCTCCCTCCCACCCTCCCAGACTGACCGCCTCTGACTGTCTGTCTGTCGGAAACCGTTTTTAATTCTGTTTTTTTTAAAAAAATAGATTTTTTTTATATCTATCTGTTATATATATATATATCCATCTCTCTCTCTCTCTATCTATCAGGTCGCCTGTGTTTCTTTTTTTAAACGAGAGAGAGAGAGGGGGGGGTGGGAGGGAGTGCGTGCGGCCGTTTTTTTTAAAAAAAGAAAAAAAAAGGGATAAAGAAAGAGAGAGGGGAGAGAGGGAGAAAATTAAGAGAGAGAAATTTTATCTGAGGATTGAATTGAATTGAATTGAACTGAAGGAGCCGCCATGGCAGGAACCACCACCACCGCCGCCGCCGCCGCCATCCTCCTGCATTGAGCTCAAGACAAGATCCAATGTAGAGGGCTTTTCTTTTTTTTTGTTGTTGCCTCTCTTTTTCTTCCCTCCTTCCTTTCCCTCCCCCTCCCCTCCCTCCCTCCCTCCCTCCCTTCCTCTCCTCCTTTCCTTCCTTCTTTTCTTCTGCTGCGGTTTTATTCATTATTATTTTTTCTCTCTCTCTTCTCTTCTCTTCTCTTCTCTCCCCCAACCCCCACACAACCCCCCTCACCCCCATTCCCATTCGTGCAAGGAGAGAAAAAATTGTGGGTGGGTGGGTGAGGGGGAGGCAGAGGAGGAGGAGGAGGAGGAGGGGTGGGGGGGGGTAAAAAATCGCATACGCGATGAAACCAGGTAGACGAGATTAATTTTTTTCGGAAAGAGAGAGAGAGAGAGAGAGAGGACGAAGAGGAGGAGAAAGGGGGGTGGGGGGGTGGGTGGGAGGAGGAGGAAAAAAAAAAGGACAGACGAGAGGGAGGGAGGGAGGGAGGGAGGGGGGGGAAGCGAAGTGGGGGTTTTTTTTTTGAAAAAATATATGTTTGAAAAATTAGATGTCGCTTTAAAGTAAAAATCATGAGTGGTCGACCCAGGACAACGTCTTTTGCTGAGAGCTGCAAAACGGTGCAGCAGCCCTCTGCTTTTGGGAGCATGAAAGTCAGCAGTAAGTACATTTTTATATAATTATCAATACAATCCTGTCTCTCTCCCCCCCCCCCACCCCCACCACCCCCCACCTCAACCCCCACCACCCCCCACCACCCCCACCTCACCCACCTCACCCCCACCACCCCCCACCTCACCCCCACCACCCCCCACCTCACCCCCACCACCCCTTCGTTAGCCTTTCTCCAAACCTGAAGAAAATATCGTTTGAATCCCAAGGAATGATCGATTTCCGCGATCAGTATGTAAGGGATATATGTTCAGTCAGGGAAATGACATCCCGTGTTTAAAATTCCTTTTTTTAAAAAAAAATCCGGATAAATCTGTATGTGAAAAAAAATATATAAAATTGCTGCCTGGAAATCATTCGCCCGACATCTGCTTGCAGTTAGGTTTCTGTTCGCATGCCATTACCTAAGATTTTTTTTTTGAAAAACAAAACGAAATTTGACTTATTTTTTTAAAAAAAAGAAAGACGAGAAAGATTGATTTAAAACCATCTGCTTCTGGTGTTTTAAAGATAGGAGTGGGGACTTGTACTCACAGCGATGGCAAATTACAGAAATGATCAGGGTTCTGCTGACTTGACCCTTCGGAAATTTATGAGGAATATAAGTGTGTGATTTTTCTAAAAGGGAACAGAAATAGGACAATCTTACTCCTTTAAACAATAGATGTGAATTGTTTGTGATGTGCCATTTCTTCCCCCTCCCCCTCTCCTGGGCCTACATGGATCAGGCTTATTCATGGGCTGTGGTAGTTTAATCAATTCGTATCTGAAGATGCTTGAGTTTGGCATTTCTACAACGTCGTTTACAGGTCACTCATTTACCTCCCGTGTTGATACGTCTTGGTTTATTATGCTCAAGAACGTACAGTGCAACAGTTTTAAACATAGAGGCCTTATGTTTTAGTGAAGGCTTGTGCAATTTGTCAAATCGGTGAGTGCTGCGTTTCTGAGATGTGCAAATTGCCTATCCATCAAAAGGGGTTTATTTTCTTACAGTTCTGAATGTACAGCATTTTTGTTTTACCTTTTCACAAATGAGCGGGTTTGTGTGTTAGGAAAGGTGCAACTTATTTGTAAAATTCACCAACCTTATTACACGGCCCTTTTTCAAATCAATAACTCTTGACTTTGGAGGTGAGAATTCTATTTTACCTATTTTCACGATCATGTCAGTATTGGGACATCTATATCTAAGGCATGTAACTCCCGAGCAACCTACTCCCAAAATAGAATATTGTAGTTGTGAAATTTTGATCAAGATTTGTGGGAGTGAAGCTGAGATTTTTTTNGTCCTCAAGTGATGTTGAAGTTTATGACCAAATGTGCTACAAATCACAAATATTTTGCTTTTGCTTGTTTTAAATGTATTTTTTNCCTGCATAGCTAAGAGTGAGCACTATGAGTACCACCGATGTGGTACATCATTGATGAGTCAGCTTTTGTAAAGTATTTTAAGGCTGGAAAAAGAATCTTTTAGAAATATTGCCTCAGTGGGAAAACATTCTTTTAGAAATATTGCCTTATTTTTTTCTCCAGAGAAAAGTGATAAACTTCAAATACCACATCAAGGAATGTGGCGCATTATCAAAGGATACTTGTTAGGAAAAGATATTCATTTATTTGGTGGTATATTCCAGTAGGAATAAGTTTTGGATTTGTGTTTAGGATGCTGAACTGAAGGGTGTATAAATGCACCACATTTATTAAAAAAAAGGGGGATAAGGGGAGGGTGGTGCAGAAACCAACTAAAAGATTGCATCACAGAGCGCCATTGTTGACAAGTGTTTACCCTTTTATGATTAGAAAGGTGTATTATATGGCTCCAAGGTAGTCATGGTGCTTCTCTTAGCCATTCAAAGAGTTGCACATTTGCTTCTTGGCCTGTGCTAATTTAGTCAATTTCAGCAAAGATGGCAATTGGGGTGTTATTGTTGGCTTTAGAGGCTCCAGATAGGAAAGGAAATTGTTTCACTCAGATTGTGTTTTCTGCTGGGAATGTTGGGAATACAGTTGAGAAATGGTTGGGCTTGGTTACGGTTACGGTAGCACAAAAGGGAACTTAGTGTTTCTCACGCTCACTCGCCACCAAGAGTGACACGTGAAAGGTCATCATCGCACACCCAAGCCCATTGTCGGTGAGGGTGGGGGGTTGGCTGGGGGGCTATGAACGGAGGGAAGATTGCATCACCTTTTCTTTCCTCATCCTCTGTGTCCCAGCCTCCTTTAGGTGGGTCCTGCAATATGCATGATTCATATCCCAGTTGAGGGTGTACGTAAGTGACTACTTCCTAGACCTTTGACATAGGAGTTGTGTTCTTCCTACAGTATTTCCCAGTGGGGGGGAATTATTTGCCTACCCTGATAACTGCTGAGATTGGGAAGTTGCCAGGTGTGGAATGTTGTATGAAACTGCATTTGTCACTGGTGCAGTGGATCAATACACTAACATGCTACACTGTTGGGCTTCCTACAAACATTCTTGTGACCTTGATGTATTATTGCTTGTTTTCTTATAATTGCAATACATTTACTAAAACAACACTATATTGCGGATCTGCTAGTTGCATGATAAAATGCACATGGCTCGTGACTCTCACAATAGTGGTAAAGTTAAATAAAATATCATTCACATTTTCATAATGACTCTGAAAAGCAGCCTAAGGGGTTGCTACATTTCATTGTTTGTTTTCAATTCATTCACTGAGGTTGGGTTAATTTAATTTGGAAAAAATATATAAGTTCAGTGACGTAGTTAACAACTTCGAACATGTAGAGGTCAGAAGAAATAAATAAGTAAAATAGCCAGCCATAGTAACCGACTTCTGAAACTTGCTTGGTGCTGTTTTACTTTCTGCCCTTGTAGGTGAAGAGTAAACTTGCAGATTGTACAGTATTTGTGTGTCCAAGAGTCCTGATAAAATAAAAAAAGAAAAGATTTACATTGTGGTACTGTATTTAAAATAATTCCACAAAGTTCGATGCCCTTTCCTGGAATTGAAGTTCATCCAGCAAAAAAAGTCTCGTCTGCACATTATATTTGATCTCAATATGAATGGCATGTATATGTAAAAGGTAATTTCGATGAGCAGTTCACTCAGCTACTTGTATTTTTTGAATTGTATATGGATTGAAACTCAGACAAAGGAAATAGCTGCTGCTAGATTAGGTGTGACTGCCTTATGAGATGTATATTGTGATATCAGAATAGGTAAAGCGCAATTACTTTTAGCCCATTGCTTGCTTATTCTCAATGCCTTGTGGTTAATCACTTTTCTGATTCTGACTGCAAGTGGTTTCAGATGCTCTTTTATTTCCCCTTCCTACCTACTGCCTTTCTAATGTTTATTTGTGACTTTCCAAAAAATGGATGTTACAAAAATTAGAAGTTAAGTGTATCAAATTTAATATATTTACGATAAGGATTCACCCATGAAAGATGCCAATTTGGGCTTGTAGCTGTTTTTTTAAGATGCATGTATATGAAAAGAGCAAGAAAGTATCTTTTTAGGCCTCACTAATAAATGGTCATACTATTAAAATCAACTCTTAAGAATAAATTCTATATGCACCCAAAGCTTATTTCAGTTTGTGTATCTGTGTTACAAGTGGCATAGAAGGCCAATAAAGAGGGGAAGATGGTGTATCTGAGTGGAACGTTTTTCTTGCCCTTGTTAACATATTCAGACAGTAAACGCAAATCCAATTTGGTTTTGATTTTTACTCCTTGTTCTAGAAGTCTGAGCATTTGAAATTATCAAATAATTGTCCAATATCTCCTGTAGGGTATATTAAAGAAAATACAAGGATCTGAATGTAACTTATACAAGTAAATGAGTCTGAGTTGAATTCTATGTTTTCATTGTATTTTTTTTAAAAAGACATAAGGTGGGAAATTTACTCCACTCTGTTTCTAAGTCACATTGTGAAATCTTTTGTTTTTAAATCTGAGTGACCTCAAAATTTTTTGATTGAAATTTGCCACCAAAATAAGTAGGACTAACAGAATTAATAGTGTTTGAATTTAAGGTAATCTCTTGCCTCTCTGTGTTGGTCAAACTCCATCTTACAGTCATGTCGCTGCACGTAGTAGAACTGGGCATGAAAGTGCCAAACAGTGCCAATTATAATGGATTGGTTTGAATCTGAACAAAATGCTGTGTATAACATAAATCAGTTGAAAAGCGTTGATTTGATTCTAAGCTGTGCTCCAATAACTATTGCAAGATATGGTTTCACAGATTAGACTGATGTAACACCAGCAAGGTGTTAACATTAAATCCAACCGGCCTTTGTTACTGGTCAGCGGAGCTCTACGCATGTGCTAGTTGCGCATATGCAATGCTTTCTTCATCCCCTGGTGAGAGCAGTTTTGAAGCAGGAAATGTAAATCCTTTTCCCGCTCCGAATTGCTCTACTGCTGGAAGCAATGACTAATTGCACTACAGTTGGAGGCAATGACTAATAGCTCCAGCAGTATAAATTTGGCATCGTTTAAGGAAGTTACAGTGAGAATTGGAAATGTTGCACTTGTGCCCTTCGAAAATTTGGTTTAAGCGGTTTATTTAGGTGGTGTAGAAGGCGGGTTGTCCTGCAAATAGCACAGATTGTAATTGGTCTGAGATGGTGGAAAATATTAAATTTCTAGTACTGTTTTTTAGTTTACTTAGCATAGAATTCAGTTCTTTTTAAATAATCCTACCTGTGAGTGGCAAAGGCTAAACTATGAGCCTATAACTTGCTTTATATCTTCTCCCCTTTGTGTGTTATCTTACCCAACAATTTAAGTTTGTTCAATTTATGCATATTTCTGAACCATTGTTATGTAAGTTTAGAATTCTTATTTGCTAATATGTTTCTGCTGATGGGAGGTTATTTCACTTCACTCTTGAAGTGCTTAGCTTCCATCTTGAAAATTATCCAAAACTAGCTCCATGACTCCATGGCTCAGTAACAGCAACTAGGACAATCTTCTTGCTTCAGTTTCATGA